CTCCACCGTGCCCCCGTGACACGCCATGGTCGCCGAGTCAGGGTTTACATCGCCTTGACACGGGTGTCCGCGTGGTAGTGTCGTACAGAGTGGGCTCTCCGGGCCCTCACCCTGGCCGCCGGGAGGGGGTAGGGTGGGGATCTGTGCACGGCGGTCTCCAGTCCAGTGCCCCCTGTGTCCGCAGTGCTAGCCTACATGCAGCTGCTCGAGGACTACTCGGAGCCGCAGCCCTCCGTGTTCTACCGGACGCCGCAGAAGGAGCACGTCTACCAGCAGAAGAACAAGCTCCTCATGGAGGTGTACGGCTTCAGCGACCCTTTCAGTGCCGGGGATGCCCCGCAGGAGCTCGCCCCGCCCCCCGCCCTGCCCCCCAAGCAGCGGCAGCTGGTAAGCGGCCCCTCCCGGGTGCCCCTCGCCCTTCCACCCCCCGCAACCAGTCTCTCATCCGGACGGGTCTCTAGGAACTGGGGTGGTCCTGGGGCAGCTTTCGGCGCCTCTCCTCCCGGGCCAGGGCTCCGGGCCGTGCTCTCGTGCCCTCGCTGAGGCCTGTCTCCTGCTGCACCATCTCCCCACCCTGGGGGCTGGCACCTTTCTTTTCCAGAGCAGCCCCTGCAGCTGGGGCTGGCTTGTACTCAGAATGTTTGCTTTCTCTGTTGACAGTCCCTTTTCTCTCTTCTTCGGCTCCAATATAGACCTCCCAGAAAGGAGGGACTCAATCAGAGCACAGGGCACGGTCTGTGTAGGGCCATCTGTGGACTTGATTTACATAATGGGCCTCACTCTGCCCAGTGATCTAACACCCCGCCCTGGCCGGGGATGGCCCAGTGAGAAGCAGCTCTATTGAAGCAGGATGGCTTTGCACAGAGCCGCTTTGTGTTTCAGGCATGGCACACCGTTCCTCCTTCAAAAACCCCTCCTGTGTAAGGACTCCGTGTAGGTGGCACAGAGGCAGGCTGTCCAGCCGTGGGCAAGCTGTGAAGCTCTGGGACCAGACAAGGGGCACGGCGGGTGCGCCTCTCAACGCTTTTCTCTTTGCCACCAGTTTACTAACTGAGTGGGCTCTGGCTAGGGTGTGGAATCCAAATGTCCCATCCAGCCGTGTTCTCCAGGAGAGGAGACCCGACTTTATCAGAGCTGCATGTGCTGTCTTGCTCTTAACACTGGTCAATCTGGTAGTGATTTAACCAGCGAGGGGCCCAGCGTGGCTGGCCAGGCTGCCTTTTATCCATTGCGAGAGGACGTGAGGTACTGCCCCGACTTTTCTGGGAGGCAGCTGCCGACCGGACGACAAAGGCCCCTGGGTGACTCCTCGAAACTGTCTGGGCCTCAGCAGTGCTGTGATTGGGCCTCGAGCATGCCTGGCCCCAGGCATCCCCGAGCCTTCCTACACTCAGCGGGCTCTGGGGCTGGCCCCGCAGAGCCACAGCCAGCCTCTTGGGGGACAGCCTGGTCCAGTAGGGGAAAGGCCAGACTCGGGCTGGGAGTCGTGGGTCGCAGTTTCTGCCACCAGCTAGCTGTGTCTCAGCAGTTGTGCTCAGGGTCTCAGTTTTTCACCTGTCCTGCTCACCCCACAGACACCTGAACATGACCGAATATGAACAGAAATTGAAAATTGATTCTAGGATTTCAAGAAGAAATTGTCACCACAGAAATATAAATGCCTGCCCCCGGGACCTCTGACCTAAAATGTTTGGTTGGACAGCTGGGCCAGTTAGGTTGAAATGTGAAGTTTTCTCATCCCCTCCTGCCGGAGTGCACGCGTGCCTGTCGGCCGGCCTTGGGCATTCTTCTCTGTACCGTGTAGCCCATAGGCGTCAGAGCACTGGGGAGAGATCCCTAAGGAGCGCACGCGAGTCCCAGCCCACGTGAGAGAGCTGTCAGACGGCCCCACCTGTGGCAGGGCGGCGGTGAGGGCAGCTCTGGGGAGAGGCCTGCCAGGGGGCCCGGGAGGTGGGCCTACACCCTGTTGAACACCGCCCTGAGTGAGCACTGGAGCTTCCGTATGGTGTCGCACGATCCTCCCCACGGCCCCTGGCACCCCCATTTTAAGTAAGCTGAGGCTGAGAGAGCTGGAGAGACTGACTCAAAGCCCACTGCCAGAAGTGGAAGATTTGGGAGCCACGCCCAGCTCTGACTGAAGCCCGGGCACACATGTGCCATGCCCTGTGCCGGCTGCTTGGCATCCCTTCTCCAGGGCAGACGCAAGAAGTGTGACCCCGTTTTTCCAGACAGAAGTGAGAGTGCTGGTTACACCTGCTGGCCCACATGTGCCGAGAGAGGCTGGTTCTAAGTGCTTTCCATGCATACCGCCCAGCACTGTGTTCCCCACATCCTACGGATGACAACCTGGGGCACAGAGAGCTTTGAGTAATGCCCGGGGCCAGGCAGGTCACGAATGGCGGGGCTCAGATTAAACCCAGGCAGCCTGGCTCCCGCTCTGCACTCTGCCGGAGCACAGAGCGGGGTCTGGGGCCCAAAATAAGCGGAAGAGCAGGGGCTCACTCAGGTCTGCGTGGCTCCTCCCACCTTACCGCCACTTCCAGCAGACCCAGAAGTGAAGAGGGCGCCCACTCACCCAGGCCATCTTTGGCAGGCATCCTTAACCCCTGAGCTGGGCCGGGAAGCCATCCCTCTCCAGAATGTCCCAGCAGAGTCGGGTAGCAGCCTGTTTAGCCTTTATGTGTACATGCCTGACTGTTCTCTGCTTTTCTCCCTCCTTCCCTGTCTTCTCTCTCCTTCCTCTGTCCAGCAGGCCTCCTATGCTGCTTCTTCCTTCTCCTCTGTCTCCTACTGTGTCCAGCAAACTAAAGTGGCCTTCACTCCCGAGGACGGCAGTGCCACTCAGGGCATCAGTGTGTCCGTCTCTAACTCCTTTCTCAGCCGGCACGGCAACTTACCTGTGCCCTCGGTGAGTCGCTCCCTGCTGCTCGCTACTGGGAAACTGGTGAGCGAGATCTTTCCCTTGTCGCTCCTGCCTCCCGACCTGTGTGCTGCCACCCATCACCGGCTCTGTCTCTCCGCAGGCCCCTGCACTAGATGGGAAAGGGTACGCGTGGTTGGCTGGCTGTGGCCCGAAGGACTGTGTGAGCGGGTGGGGTGGGGATCGTTTGCGGCCACGCTTGGAACGTCATCACCCAGGCATAAACTGGCAGGGATGTTTTGGCCTTTTTATTCCATTCTCACACTGGGCCTTGGGTCAGCCCTGTAGTGTTCTGTGTTTAAAAAGGAATAGTCCTCACGTAGGAAGCAAAGCCCCGGAGAGCAGGTTATACCCAGCATGACGGAGTTTGAGTTTGAGGGCTGTATCAGTTAGCTTTTGCTAACTCTTGCTATGTAACATACCACCCCAAAACTTGGTGGCTTAAAGCAACAGTAACTGTTTGTCATTGCCTAGGACACAGCTTAGTAGTGTGGCTGTGCTGACGCAGTTAATCTGTTCCAGTGAAACTCTGGATGTCAGGGGAAAGAACTTGGCAAGGGGGCACATTTGGGCTCCACTTAAAATGGGTTTATCCTCCCCAGGCCTCAGTTTCTGTCCTTTGGGATTGTACTTTTCCTTGCCTCTTATAACAGTTCGTGAATGGGAGGATTAAGTAAAATCATAGGAGACTTCCAGGCACTTAGTAAAGCTTAGAAAGTTTATTCCTCTTGCTCTTTCTCTTAGAGTTGTGGATCCTGGTCCTGGCTGTGCTCTAATTCTGTACAGGAGAGCTTGGGCAAGTGGCTTAACCTGTTGCACTTCCCTTTCCCTCTGTGAATGACGAGGTTGACCTGGTGACTTTTGGAGACCTCTCCAAGCTTGGGTTCCCAGTGTGGTCTTGTCCAGTTTCCATATTTGGGAGCCATCCAGCGCCCGGTTTAAGCTGTGCCTGCCCGTTGTGAGACCCTTGGGATGCAGTCCTCCCTTCAGTGTGCTAGGGCCCAGCTTTTTAGAGCCCGCACCAACCATACGTGCTGTAGAAAGGCTAAACACCACTCGCCCCACCCCCAGCCCTGCCCTGGTGCACAGACGCCCTCTGTTTCCTCAGCACGCACCTCTGGCAAGCTCCTTTCACAAATCTTGCAAAACTTGGCCTGTAGACAATCCCAGCTCTTGACAGTTTTCCCCCCTCTGTGAACAGAAAGTAAGTGTGAGTTTTCCTAAGGGTGTCTACAATATCCCTTTTGAGTAGTTTGGGGTAGAAGACTGTCAATGCATTGGACTGTTTACTACGGAATTAGAGAAAATTTGAGGGCATTTTAATTAATTTTGGGTATGAGTACGTCATGGTTTTCACCCCTGGCACGTAGGGGAGTCTTACGGCATCTTGCAGCAGAAGTGTTGTGTTCTCAGCGGCAGCTCCACAAAGGAGCCTGAGGGGAGTGAGCTAAGAAAGGTGCTTTATTTCACTTAAAGGAAAGTCCCTCCAGGCCTCAAGAGCTGTTAGTAATGGCCTAAATGTGTGCAACGCTTGACATTTGAAATGCTGAAACCCCGGAGAAATGATTTAGTGTAATACCAGCGTATTCTTGGTATATTCTCTGCTACGTTCTAAGATGAGCCCCAGACAGAAGGGCTCTGACGTGCTCTCAGAGCAGCCCTTTATTCCCGAGTGTCCCTGGGCCTGTGTCGTCAGTCCAGCATGGAATTCCCAAGGGCTGCCTCATAGGAATACAGCAGGTGCCAAATCCGAAGACACCTCACACAGTTCTTGGGCCCGTGACCTGTTACTTCTGCCGTGTCACAGGAGGATTGAAAACCTTGCCAAGGGAATTGTCGAGCAGCACACCTGCGTTGATCAATGCAGAATGAAGTCGGTGCTGGGAAAGCATTCCTGTTCGCTCTTCCCAGGATCCCAGGATAAGTTTAATTCAGTAAGCACGGAGCCTCTCCTAGTGCGGGTCAGGCAGCGAGAGGGATCCAGAGCGAGCAGCATGGCCCTGCCATCCCTGAGAAGCCCTTGCAACTGAGTAGGCAGAATAAGCTGAGCATAAAAGAGACTCTGGCCCGGGCGGAGCGCGAGTGACAGCGTGAGAGTCGCAGATGGTCTGTGGAGCCAGGGCAGCGCCGGGCAGCGCCTCGTGGGGGAGGGGCGCTTGAGTTGTGGTGTGAAGGACAGTTAGGATTTCAGGGAGATAAAGGCCAGGGAAGTCTAGTCAAAGTTGTTCCACACCGAGGGCCCTGCCTGAAGATGAGGCCGGGAAGGCCTGGCATACATTCTGGAAGGAAGATTGTCTCAAGTATAAGCACGCAGGACTGAGGTCCTGGGTGAGTGGGCTGGAGGGTAGTGACAGTAGCCAGCCCTTCCACGTGTCCTGCCCCTTAGCCCAGACCAGCTGCTCCCCGAGCTGCTCCCTTGTGGGTGCAGCCCTCCGGGGCTCAGGCCGGTCTTGAGCTCTTTCCCCAC